AAACACACACTGCTCCTTTTCCATTCTCTTCGTCCTGCCTTCTTGCGAGAAAACAAACACCTGGCTCCCACGGCCCGCCCCGAGCGCTGGCCCAGAGCTCACGGCCCTCGGCTCCCAGTGAGTCTGCCTTCCCATGGCCTTCACACCTAATGCCGCTGCCTGAGCATCTTACGCACCCGTATCACTGACTGGGCACCCGCTGTGTCCCAGGCATCTTGCACTGAATCGATTTGTCCATTTGCAGAGCAGCAGGGAGCCAGCCGCCCCGTCCTATGGAGCGTGCGTTCAGCCAGGAGAGGACAGGGGTGCGGGGAGGAAACAGCCTCGGACAGACGTGAGGTGCAGCCGTTAGAGGGCACGGGCACCATGAAAACATGGGAATGAAGCCACACAGGGGCTCTGGGAGGGAGGGGCAAAGGGAGGCTCGCCGAGGGGAAGTGGCCGGACAGAGGAGAGCAGGCGGACGCCTGGAGAAGGGCATCGGGCAGAGGGGCAGCGCATGGAGGTGCAGCAGGACAAGCAAGAGGCCAATGGAAGGGGGTCGAGGCTGGGTGGGGGGTACATCCTGCAGGGATGGAGGGCCCGTGAGCACCTGGCATCCCCTGAGTGCAGGGGGAGGCGCCGGGGCTGTAGTTGAGGGCCTGCTGGGCTGACACAGTGGGGACAGACCCTCTGGCTCCAGTGTCAGGAGCAGACTGATGGGTGGAGGAAGCGGGGAGACAGCAGGAGGCGACAGCACCCTCCCCGGGCGATGCGGAGACCGTGGAAACGGTGGGAGCCGAGGTGGTGGCTTTGGGGTGTGCTGGAGGGAAGCCAGAGCATGAGGGAGGGGGGGGGGGGGGGGGAGAGGAGGCCCATGCTCCACTCCCCCTGGGAAGGCAGGGTCTCCGGCAGCTGCCACGGGGCCTGGGTCAGATCCCGTCGTTTTGACGGTCTGGCTGTAAACCCAGCCCTTAGTGTGACTCCACGCGAGGGATGTGGAGTGTTCATGACCAGCCTCCCACCCTGAGGTCCAGGCGGTGGATCATTCCCACCCTAATCCCTGCACGCTCCCTCCTCCCCCAAGCTCTCTTCAGTGGTGACAAGTACTTATTGGAAACAAGCAAATGGTTTTATTTTTGGTACAAAAAACAACAAAACAGAAAGTACAGTATTATTTAAAGCAAACGTTGAAAACTAGGAAAATGAAGCCCCCTGTGGACACACAGATCAGCTGTGCCCAGAACCCAGGTCACCCGTGACACAAAAGGGCTCAGGGTCCAATGCAACGGGCTTGCCCAGGGGGTCCGACTCCAATCCCCGACTCCAGTTCCCGGACAGCGAGGATCCCGCACCATAGAACAGAATGGCAGAGACCAGCCCAAGTCCCGCGGCCTAAGGCAATGCTTGTGGTGGTTCTGGAGAAAGAAACGCTCCTGAGATGCTGGGACAGGGCGGTCAGCATCCAGATCTCTGCCTCTAACTCCCACTGGGGTCTGTGGTGCTCCCAGCTCTGCCCCTCCCTCCCCCTCCCACATCCCCTCCAAGTCCTTCTCATCCTCCACCCTCCTCAGCTCTGATGGCAGGTAGGGCAGGTGGGGGGTCATGCGGGGAATCTGAAGGCCTCAAGGAAATGCCGCTGGAAGAGCCAGAGACAGTGTCTGTCCACCCGCCTGCCTGGCTGAACCGATTAACACAGAGGAACAAGTCCCCCTCCCTCCTCTGACTCTGCCACTGCGTAACTTGGCTGTTTTGGGCAAGTAGACCTCTGGAGTGTTAATTCTCTCTCCTTTAAAATGAGAATAAGAGCCTGGCGGGCGTGGCTCAGTGGTTGAATATCGACCTGACTCAGGAGGTCAAGGTTGGACTCCCTGTCAGGGCACAGGCCCGGGTTGTGGTCTCGATCCTCAGTGTGGCGCATGCAGGAGGCAGCCAATCCATGATTCTCTCTCATCATTGATGTTTCTATCCCTCTCTCCCTTTCCCTTCCTCTCTGAAATCAATGGAAGATATCCTATAGAGTAAAAGCCTAATATGCAAATTGTCCCCTTGACCAGGAGTTCCACCAGGAGTTTGACTGCTTGCTATGGTGTGCGCTGACCTCCAGGGGGTGGCACAGAGCATGGCAGGCGTCAGTGATGAGGCACTGGCAGCAGGTGGCAGTGGAGGCACTGCTGGCCCCAATGGGCTTCTGGGTGAGCAGGGCTGCTGCTGCCGGGATCACAGGGGCCGGTCAGGCTCACCGTGGGTTCGTGCAGGAGCCGGTCTGCTGAGGCCAGCTGGGAGAGAGTGTGCTGCCTGCCCGGCTACCATGCGGAGCTGCTGGGTGGCCCAGAGGCCCATGCTGTGCCCCGGCCCGCGGCGTCCAGCTTACCGCATCTCCGCCTGGGGACTTGGGCACCATGACTCAGGCAGAGGGGGGCGTGTGGGGGCCTGAGGGCCTGGGTGCTGCCCAGGGCCCAGAGGTCAGCTGGGACCTGCCCTTCCACGCCAGACGCTCATGCTTCAATTGCCAGCTAGGCCTAGGGACCGCACCCATACACGAATTTCCTGCACCGGGCCTCTAGTCTACAATAAGCCACCTGTCTTATTTGTGGATGAAATATACTTGCAAAAACCTTAGACAACACCAACACATATTTATTGACTTTATTTTTAAAAAATTACTTTTCCTAATTTTAGAAAGTTATGAAACATAACTAGAAGCTATTTTTTCCATGCTGAAAATTCTTGAAAATGTATCCCTCTACTTTATATCCATACATTAAAAAATCACTCTTTTTGAGGGAAGGCCTCTTATGGAGCAGACCCGGAGCTGAGGAGTGAGCTGCACGCTCAGTGCCCTGCCGGAGGAGCACTCCTTCCAGGACTGGCCTGTGTGGGTTACCGAGGCAGGGCGTGGGAATTCACGGTCTCTTTGGAAATAAACTGTGGTTAAAATTGGACACCAGGGTAACTGTCCCCAACATAGGAAATGCAATGATTTTGAGGGAACTAGACAGAAATAAACAAGCTGTGATTGAAAAACATGCATCTATATTCAGACCTCACCTCTGGTTTTGCTGTGGACTGATGGGTGCTGGTAGAGACATGCCAGGGGGTCATGTTTCAGTGCTTTCTGTTTCTGCCACATCCTCTCACCAGGCCCCCAGTGTCCTCTATTACGACAATCCAATGTCTCTCAGAAAAGTCTCCCATTTCTTTTATTTATGCCTCTGCGTGTTATCCAATCCCTGTACACCTTTTCTCAGGAGTAGATATTTTAGCCTAAATCAGCCGTGGGCAAACTACGGCCCGCGGGCCGGATCTGGCCCGTTTGAAATGAATAAAACTAAAAAAAAAAAAAAGACCGTACCCTTTTATGTAATGACGTTTACTTTGAATTTATATTAGTTCACACAAACACTCCATCCATGCTTTTGTTCCGGCCCTCCGGTCCAGTTTCAGAACCCATTGTGGCCCTCGAGTCAAAAAGTTTGCCCATCCCTGGAATAGTTAAGGCTGTTAGTCATCCAGCTCTTAGCATAAAACAAGCACAGAGCTAAGAATCTTACATGTTATTTTAGTTAATCCTTGTTATCATTTTATGATGTAGATAAAATTAACACCTTAGAATATTAATCAATAAATTTCAGCTTAGGGAAGATAGTTAAGTTGCCCAAGGCCCTACAGCTAGGAGTGGCCTGACTTCAGAGTCTGAGCTCTGAATAATTATATTGATTTTAAAATCTAAATGATCTGAGTGGCAGGCATCCAAACAGGCAAGGAGGTCTGAGGGCTTCCCTGTGGGCTGAAACCAGCTCTCTAAGCTGAAGAGCTGAGTTCTGCCACACACCTGCCCCAGCAGCACCTGCCATACAGCAACGGTCACTCTATCACTGAATTCAGGTGGTAATTCCAGCCCTACCTCCCATGACCCTTTAACATTTCCAAGAAGAGAAAACAGAAGTACATGGCCTTCATGAGCAATGCTGAGCTTCTCATCTCCACTTTGTCCTAGTAGATCCCCCTGCAACTGCTGGCCAGGGTTTCTGTTAGCAGGAGATTGAAGATGAGCGTGGTGCCCATGGCAGCAAGTCACGGCTGGGGAAGATGAATACGAACATTGACCATAAGCACCAGAAAACATGTGAAAAACCTTAAGGTGGAAAGCCTCTGTATAGGATGAATACAAGGAAACGCTACTTTATCCAACTTCAGAATTCATGGAAACAAAACCATTCAGCCTAGCAATGTAAATAGGTTTGAGAAAACAAAAAGCAAAGCAAACAAACAACGTACAGAGAAAATTAAGATTCTATGGGCTATGTGTCTGATTTTTTGAGGTTAAAGATAAAAGGGCAAATCTGCCCCTGGTGAAGCAGGTAGACTGCTCAGGGGGCCAGCAGCCAGGCCTGGAGCAGCCAGGCCTGGAGCAGCCAGGCCTGGAGCAGCCAGGCTTGAAGCAGCAGGCCCAGAGCAGCCAGGCC